TAGGGGGAAGGGGAAATTCATTTTAAATTTTTTTCCCCTTGGGGGGTGGGGGGCCTTGGTTTTTTGTTTTTTTTTTTTTCGTTGGGGGAAATTTTTTCCCTTTTCCCCCGGTTTCGTGGGGGTCAGTTTTTGGTTTTTTTTTGAAAGAGGTGGGGTTTTTCCGGTCCGGGGTTTGGCGGGCGGGGGGCAATAGGGGGGGACTTCTTAAGTTCACCCTTTTTCCCCCCCTTTTTGGTTACCCAGGGCCTAATCCATAAAATTTTTGCCCCCCCCCCCCCCGGGGATTTCCGCTTGATGGCCTTATTTTGTTTTTGGACAGGTGTTCGACGTGATTTGCGGTACCTCGACAGGGGGCATCCTTGCCATGCTCTTCGCCTCGGAGAAGCAGTCGCTGGCTTCCGCGACGACCATGTACGACTCGCTGATCGTCAAGATCTTCAAGAAGGACCTCCTCGCCAATGCCAAGCTCGTGCTGCAGCAGGTGCGGCGTTGATTGGCTGGCTGGGTGTGGTTTGGTTTGGTTTGGTTTGGTTGTTGGCATTTTGGTTGGTTGTTGTTGACGGTCACGTCGCTCTTCTGCGGGCAGACGGCGGCTTGTTGACTTTTGCTTGGCTCTTTTTGTTGTCGTTGTTCGTGATTCGGGAGAAGGGGAGCGTGATTGGTGATGCGTGTCCTGCTTCCGATGTGCCGTGCGGCGGTGCGGTGCGGTGCGGTGCTGTGCTGTGCTGTGCTGTGCTGTGCTGTGCTGTGCTGTGCGGTGCTGGTGTCCGAAAGCCCAGTCTCGGGGACTTTTGGCGATGGACATGTCGTGCTATCGTACGTTGCGGCATCCTGGGCAGTAGACTGTTCTGGTTCGCTCTCCCCGCCGCCCTACAAGCATCGTCGAACCGTTTTCTGTGGTCCAGGTTGTTCGTGGAATTGGAATCGCGGCGGCATGCCTAGACAGCCCTAGCTCTCGTGCAGAGATGCGAAACAAGTGTATTGTAGTTGTCGATTGTTGGAGAAGGAAAGGAGGGTTGATCCGCCCTCCTCGCGGTGGCAATGAGGGCACGCTGCGGATAGGAATACTCTCCCCCTTTGTGTGAAAATCGGATGGTTATCTCCTCGGCGGTAAACAAAAGAACGTGTGGTTGCGTAGCGGGATTCTCCGGGCGACTGATTGTCGCTGGGTTGAACCGCGATGGTATATAGACCTTGTACATTTCAGCTCGACACAAAGTGTATCAGCGCCATCATGTCGGTGGGTATGTTTAATCTTGCCACGCGCGGAGGTGGTTGGTATCTTAGTTCCAGATAGCATACTTTCTCTGCTTCATTCCTTTATCCCATACACACCACAAATGTCGTCTAATTCCATACATACCACACACGTATTTGTCTAATTCCATGTCTCCGTTCCATGGCAAAGCGCCGAGGGTCACATCTCACTTATTTTCCGTTCCCAAGCATCGTGCTTGTACGACGTCTCCGTTTCTGTTCCGTTCGGTTTGGCACCACGTCCCGATTTTTATTGCCAGTCCGTACCATGTATTGCACAACGTTTCCATTCCATTCCGTATTACACGCAGCGTTTCCATCCCGTTCCATGCAACACGCAACGTTTCCATTCCGTTCCCAAGCACCGCTTCCTTGCACTCTACCGCCCTGTGGTCGGTCCCCTCAGGCCCAGTACTCCAGCACCGACTGGGAAGCGATCCTGGAAGACATCCTGGGCGACCGTCGCATGATCGACACCATGACCCTGCCCAACAACCCAAAGGTGGTGATCTGCTCGACCATCATGAACGTCGACCCGTTGGAGATGATGCTCTGGAGGAACTACGGCTACCGGCCGGAGCAGGAACCGCCGTACAAGGTGTGGTTTCAGGGGTGCCTGCTATTTTCGTTCTTCTTTTTTTCCGGCGGCGGCGTAGTTTTGATTCGGTCTGGCTGGCTTGTGTTGGTAGATCCGTATTTGTCCCGGTTCTATCTAGAACCGTGCTCATTCCGCCACCATCCATGACCATAACCATGGTTATTCCTGTTCCTTTTTTTTATTTAGAACCGTGTTAATTCCATCATCCATGACCATAACCATGGTTTATTCCTGTTCCTGTTATATCTAGAACCTTGTTCATTCCGCCATTATGCATTGCCATAACCGTAAATTCCATACTTCTTCCTGCGATCCGTAACCGCCGTGCCCGTGACCCGTGAGCCACGATCCAGCCGCACGGTGGAAGGTATACGTGTTGCGGAAAGAAATCAGAACTTTTTTTTGTGAAAAAAAAAAAACTCGAGCGACAAGCCACATGTATCCAAATTGACCACCGCCGTTCTACGTTTGGTAACCCCTGACGGACGCAGGGGGACTACAGGCGCAAGATGCGTGAGTGCGTTCGAGCGACCACGGCGGCGCCTTCGTTCTTCACCCCCCTGGTTGACGGCAAGATGATGTACGCGGACGGGGCCTTCCTGGCCAACAACCCGACGTCCATCGCGCTGACCGAGGTGCGAAAACAGCGGGGGCGTTTCTCCTTGCGTGTACAGCACTACAAGGCTTTGGCTTGCGGTAGTGATTGGTGAAATTCGTCGTACGGAGACTGCTGATTGAGGTCAGAACAGGTAGTTGTTGGCGTGGGGGCGACGTAACAACGAGAGCGACAACAGCAACAGCAACAACAGCAACACAGAGTGAGGTCAGAATGGGCGGTTGTTGGGGTGGGGACAAAGCAACCACGAGGACGGCAACAACAAACAAACAGCAACAACAACAACAACAACAACAACAACAACAACAACAACAACAACAACAACAACAACAACAACAACTGCTTATGGCCACGGCATGAGATGAGATTAAGGACAGCCCTTTGGTGCTGCGCTGTCATTGACGACACCATCTCCCCCGCAATAATGCTCAGGTTACGCAACCGGTTGCACTACAAGTATCTAACGGTGAAAGGAGGGAGGCGATCCTTGCCCCCCCTCCGCCCTTTTGCTACCACGTACATATGAGATCTGGACAAGAAAACCTAAGAATGCGCCTGCCCCCCCCCCTGCGTAGGCTAAGCTCCTGTACCCCAACGTGCCGATCGAGTGCGTGCTCTCTGTGGGTACGGGGTTTTACGTGCCGACGCGGAAGGAACCCGGCATGAGCTGGGGCACCGTCCTCAACCAGCTCGTCAACAGCGCCACCGTGAGTTTGTTTGTTGATGTTGTGTTGTTGTTGTTGTTGTTGTTGTTGTTGTTGTTGTTGTTGTTGTTGTTGTTGTTGTTGTTGTTGTTGCTGCTGCTGCTGCTGCTGCTGCTGCTGCTGTTGCTGCTGCTACTTTTGTTGTTGTTGTTGTTGTTGCCGCTGCTGCTGTTGCTGCTGCTGTTGCTGCTGCTACTTTTGTTGTTGTTGTTGTTGTTGTTGCCGCTGCTGCTGCTTCTGCTGCTGCTGTTGCTTGATAATGGGTTTGTTGGTGCCGCTGCTGTTGTTGTTTCTTTGTTGTTGGTGCCGCTGTCGGGTAGGGGGTTGTTGCGAGTTTCGTGTTTACGCAGACACATCACCGAACTAGTCTCTACTGGCGCCAACCACCACCAACGACGACCCAAATTGAGAACGCAACGTCCAATCAACACGCTCCTCGTCGAATGGATGGCCCAGCCTTGCCACGACTGGCATGTAATATTGTTTCAACAGGAAAGATTTTGAAATCACGAAACGGAGGGCACAGAGGGCGTGGCTTAACATTCCAACCACTGGCGTGTGTGTACTTCTAGGTAGTAGCGTACCAACATGTCTTAACAGGAAACATTCTTAAACCACAAAACGCAGGACACGGAGGGCGTGGACTCGATGCTCAAGACCTTCCTCCCTCGCGACCAGTACTTCCGCTTCAACGCCCCCATACAGCCGTTCGACATCGACGAGACCAGGTTTGTTTTCAATTACACAGAAATAATCAAAAGGAAGGGCCTGGACCGTCTGGAGTACGTACGTGATACTACACCCTCGTCGTTGCTTGGGGCATGTCGTTCTACTTTGGGTGTTTCGGAGTTTTTGCTCTCATTCACTAATTTTGTTTTTTTTGGGAGGCTCCTCGGAGCGGAACAAACACGACGACGAAAGAAGGCATTTAAGCGAAAGTATCCCGAAAGACGTAGTCCGCCGCCCACAATAGACGGGACGAAAAAATTGTCCATGCATACTGGTCTAATTACAAGTGGCATGGCCCTTTTCTTTCGGCACCTGTCGACCTGGCGTGCCGTGTGGGTGCGGGAGCGTACTGATTTACCGCGGCGGCGGGTCTTGGTCTTGTCTGTGGAGTGGTGTTGAAAATTCGGACTTCCGTTTGACCAGGACCGAACGTTGATGATATCAACTCAACGTCGGCCCCCCGCTATTTTGGAGACAAGAGCTGCACCTCGCCCCTCTGCCGCGCGGCTTTCGCTTTCGTTCAGCAGCCCGTGATGCCGTAACGCTCCCTCACCCTCCGGTTTCTGTGCTCCCTCTCCCATCTCTCTTGGTGCGTGCTAAATTACCTCCACTTGAACCCCGACCTGACCCAATCGATCAAACCCCATCAAAAGGGTGGAGAAGCTGGACGAGCTCAAAGCGCTGGCGAAGGAGTACACGCAACGCCCCGAGATTAAGGCGAGGGCCGAGGAGCTACGACGGTTGCTGCGCGGCGAGAACAGCAACTCGGGATGGCCTTCCATTGGCCGCGGTGGGGGTGGTGGTGATGACGGCGGTGATGGTGGCGAGGGGAACGAGCCTCCCCTTCCCCCGGCGGGGGACGGTGTTAGTGGGGGCCTGATACGGTAGACTTGCGAAAAAAGTAGCCCCGCGTTCTGGTTGTATTTCATGTCTGTTTTGTTTGTTTGTTTTGTTTGTCCTGCTTCGAAGGCAAACCCAGGTAGTGCACGGGATTGGACCTATCCCAAGCTGCGGTGGTGGTGGTGGTGATGGTGGCAGAGCGTCGATAGCAACGGGGACACAGCAGTAGTGCCAATACGCCCCCCGCGCTTGCGTCCCTCTCTCTCTCCCTCGCGCGCGCGCGAGGGTTGGGGGGGGGGGGGAGATGGCGCAGGTCCACATGGAGCATGCGTACCCGCGCCAAGTCAACGCGGGATGACACGATGCGTAGCTTTTCGTGTATGTTCAGATCCTGCTTGCCTGGTCTTGGTGCGTCTGGGCATCAACATTTACATTCGATTTCGATATCGGTTGTGGTGTGTCTAGATCGTCGTTCCGTGCTCCGTGGTCATATTCGTATTCTTGTTCTCTTTCAGTCATAGACCAATCTCATTCTGATACTACGTAGGAGAGACCCACTGATGTTCTCGCGGCCAAGACTTGTGCAGATTTTCATGAGACTTTTGGGTCCTTGGTAAGGCGACGGGCACAAAAGACAGGGAAAAAAAGGGCATCAACCTGTATTTATTCGAATACTTCTTTTTTTTTTTTTATACTCTAGAGGAGGAGCGAGCGGGTGGGCAAGGCAGAGATGGAGGGGGGAGGAGTACTCATGTTGTATTACATGTCTTAGTTTGTCAGACAATTGACCGCAAATGTTTTGCATTGTAGGAGTGAGTGCTGAGAAATGAAACCGTGCACTGCTGTTGTGTTTGTGTGCGTCCGCCGCATCCATTCAGGCGCCAGCCCACGCGCCTTTCGGTGTTTACGTTTGACGTAGTATATCAGCCGGGGTCACACAGAAGTTTCTGTTTTGTTTTTTTTGCGAGTGAGGACTTGACGCCGACGTAAAAGGCTGTGTGGGGCATCGTCCGTCGAAACATCAGCAGGCGAACACGATAGGTACGAGTTTGCACACGTTGCGGGAAAAAAAATGATGGCGTGACAGGAAAAGTGTGCCAAGATCGTAGTGGCGGTGATCTGGGCCTTTTTTTTTGTTCGGATACATACACCGAAATATGCGTCTGACCAATGAAAATACGTCAGTGTCCAGCGTGTGTGTGTGTGTGTTTTTGTGTGTCTAGCGACGACGGCGCCAACCGACTGATCGGTGAACAAACGTCAGTCTGACAGCGCACAGCGCACAAAGAAACCGGAAAAACTTTCCCATTCATCGGGCTTTCCGGGCAAGGGGGTTGGCAGAGGAGGAGGTCGGACGACAGGGTTCAGTCGGGGATTCAGAATGAAGAAGCGGTGTGTGTGTAGTTCTTTGTGTTAGCATCGACCTCGCGAAACGGTCTGAATTAGACGTCAGTTTTAGGCGGGACAAATAATGCTTGTGCGTATAGGGCAGAGGCACATTGACCAGGGGGTGGTGATGCGAACGAGGACCAACATGGAAAACAACGAAGTCAGATTGTAACCACCAGCGAATCCTACCGTCTCGCATGTGGCACGAAGGAGGGGTATCTGCAACTCGCAAAAATATCGGCGATGGACGGATGGTTGTGGTCGTGGTGGTGGTTAGAACAGAAGAGGGTCTCTGCTCGCACCTTCCCACTCTCCGTCCAGTCCCGGTGGTTCGCTTCGATGTTATGTTTTTCAATGTTTTCAATGTTTTCGAGACCCTCACGTCTTCTCTCTCTCATTCCCGTGCCTCGTGTTGGGAGGGAACAGCTCCCTTCATAGTTTCCAGGCAAGGTACATCGATACAACCATACAACAGAAGCGGGCATGCATGCAAGGCCTGAACTAAACAACAACTCCCAAAACGGGGGGAAGGGGAGCTCAAGCTTCGTGCGAAAGTGTGTTGCTATTATACACCGCCGTTGTGGCACCGTCGCAAGAGTTTCGTACCGACGTGTCCCCCGCGAGGTTACGCCAGCTGGCTGCTTTCAGCCGTGCAACCGAACAACGGGGGTCCCGTAAACATCAGTTTTGGTACCAACGCTCCTCCTGTCGTTTCTTGATTTTTTTTGTAGGGCACACAACAAAACAGGCTTTATCCCTGTGTCAACAAGAATCGAGAGCTGAACCGAAGGAATCACATCACTTGAACTTAGCGAAGGGCGCCCCCCTTACATCCTCAACCTTGCACAAAAAAAATGAAAAAAGCAAGACATGAACATTACCATATTTATTTAGGCACAAACGGAGACGGGCCCAGAGCAAAATTTTCTACAACGCCAACGGTAAGGCCTCGATCGAGACTATTAGACGGGCTCTGCAACACCAACAAAACACAGCAACAACATCAACAACAATGTCACGAACAACCGCACCGGTAGCCACACGCGAGAACACTGACACACACTGCCGCCTGCTTGCCGGCCTGCCTGCCTGCCTGCCCCTGCCAAAACGAGAACGAACAAAAAAAAAAAGAACGCAAGGTTTATACAACAAGACACTAAACAGCGCGCGATACCGCCGCCTCTGCTCGCCCGCCAACAACAAAAAACAAAGCAGATAAACACAAAAAGTTCACAATACGTGCGCTTGAAGCATCGACGACACCCATCTCCCATCATCGTCATCATCATGCCGAGAGAGACCGATTCAAGGGGGGGCGGTCTCCTCTATCCACCGGAGGTTCCCCCGCCTTCTCGACGCAGCCCTTCTTCTTGCCTCTCCGCCGTTCCGCCGCCTCCACCGCCGCCGACCCGGCAGGGGGCGCTAGCGCCGCCTCCCCGCCCCGCAACGCCTCCCCGGCGGCCGCTCTCAAGAGGGGCTCCAGCTTCCCCTGGGCGTGGAGCACCAGGGCGTCGGAGCAACCTCCGATGAAGTTTCCTCCGGCGAAGAGCTGCGGCACCTGTGTAGTAAAGCGGTGTGTGCTGTTTGTTAGCATCGATCGACCGCGCTGACGGGCAATGAAAATACGCCAGTCTCAGAGCGCCGCCTGAAGAAATGTGTGTGCGTGTGTGTTTCTATATTTAGCATCGCCCGCGCTTGTAGCCGGCTGACCAGTGAAAACAAGTCAGCTGTAGCGGAATAATGGAAGTGTATGTGGTTGTTTCTGTACAATATTTAGCATCGACAGCGCTATGTAACCGGGCTGGAAATTGAAAACACGTCACTCTCAGTGCCGGGAAAAATTGGTAAGCACTTTAAAAAAGAGGCCATGATCTGGGCCCCCTTGCGTGTTTCAACAGACGCCATCGACCTCGCTAGCCGGCTGACCAATGAATAAGACGTTGGTGTCAGCTGGTAAAAAAACACAAAAAACGTCGCCGGAAGGAGATTCTGTCAGTTTTGCCGGTTGACCGATGAAAACATCAGAGTACCAATCACTACCAATCACCCTCAAGCGGTAACGAGTTTCTAATAGCAATAGCGCTTTTACAGCCATCACGGGCTACCCTGTTCTCTAACAGGGCTGCCGTGGATTGAGGCTGCAGCTCACGATTTCGGCCTACCGGTGGAAAGAAATTCGGAAAGTGAACAAGACGCTGGCCATGAGTGGAATGGGTGTACGGGCATGCGCGTGTGCGAATGTGCACGGCTCTTCATGGACATCACCGATGGCTACATCGCTGGCGGCTCTTGACACCCAAAACGTGTCGATTAGCGGCAAACATACGCTGCCAAGATACGAACTTGAAAGGAAGAAACGAGCTTCGACTGACTGTGGTTATTTCTAGCCTTTCTGTGATTGTATGTATATTTTCTACTAAAAGTACAAGACACGAGAAGTTTAGTAACTCACGGTGAGACAACGACTGTGCATTGTGTGTACATTTCCTAAAAAAAGGACACGACGCGGCAAGTTTAGTAGCTCACGGTGAGACAGCGACTGTGATTGTATGCATCTTCTAATAAGAGGACACGACCCGACAAATTTAGTAACTCACGGTAAGACAGCGCGATGTTGGCCTCGATGCAAGCACCAGCTGCATAGCGGCACCCCCTTGCGTCTTGTCTAGCTCCTGGGCGAGGCGTGCCGGGGGGAGGGGGGTAGGGGATATAATAAGGCCACCGGCTGCTGTTGTGGTTTCTTGGGGGATAATTCCTCTCTCTAGGTATACGAAAACGCCACTAGAAGAACGTTTCGCGAAGAAAAGTGATCGGGGATGAAAATCACGTCTAATTTGTTTCCCCTGCGCCTCTTCCTCGACACACGCCCCCACAAAAAATCAGACAAAATGTGCTCGCTAACAATATTAGTGTGAAAAAAGGAAGGTCGCATTGGAGGACAGACAGAGAGATATGCGAGCGCTTTCAGCACGTTATTCAAGGCCTGTTCTACGAGGCGCTGATTTGAAGTGAAGACAAAAAATCAATAAATCTACGAACGAGGGAACACAAGACTTGGGGGGGGGGCGGGCGAGACATGACACATTCCCTATTTTTTCGACTCCGCTCGTTTCTCGAGACGACATCTACGAATGAATCGCAAAAAAGCTGTTCCGTCTCTTAACGGGGGAGTTTCTGCTTCTGCACACTCTTGGCAACCGGCAACCCCCCCCTCACCCTGCTTGGCGGCAATCTACGGAACACCGTACCGGTCCGGCGTTGGAAGGGACGCCCTGTTCCACGGTCCGAAGGACGCTGCTATCTATGGCCATGCCTAACACTGACTATGGGTACCAACCCCCCCCAAATTCCTCATGCTCACTCACTTCAGTGCGGAAGGGGATGCGGAGTTCGCGCAGGAGCGCCTTGAGCTTCGCGCAGAAGGAGCAGTAGGTCTTGGAGAACACCAACACTCCCGGCATGGAGATGTTGCGCTCGACGATGGCCGTCCACCTGCAAGTCCCAAGAACGATAAATACAATTCCGAAGGACCAAGGTTTAGGAGACAGAAAAACTGATGGCCAAATTTATATAAAAAGAAACACGGACCAAAGGAAACGAATTAGAACGAGACTAAAGACGGGTAGTGTCTCTCTTTGATGTGTATGTATATTTCCTGGTAAAATACACATGAGAAGACGGATCGATTGGAAGACCCGGGAATCAATCCGTCGAGAGACATGGGTAAGGGATTAACGCCCGATAAGTGCGCACACATCGCAGGAGATCGAAAAGAAGGCCTCGTATCGAGGCGAACCCCCTTCTCCCGGACGGAACAGGTAGGAAGGAGCAAACAACGATGGCAACACATGACAGAAGGGCATACATAGCCTACATGATGGTATGTACGAGAAACAACAAAACTGGGGCTGGCGCTTGGCTGACCGCTTAAGCCGTGCGGCATCCTTCACAACGCGAACTACATGACGTGCGTTCCTTCTCTGACTCATTCGATGCCTGCAGCATGGACCCTTGCGCCTCCGTTCCATCGCCAAACGACCCCCACAGACCCAAGAAGAGAGCAGGCCTCCAACCCATCGAGCTTCCACCTCAACTCACGTCACAGCATTTAGTTGGTTACCAGGACAAAGCAACAAGTTCACCCAAAAGTCAACTCTTTAATTTTTGAGGGAAGTCAGGACTAAAACCAGACAAGGCAAGCCGACATCTTTGAGTCGGTCAAGCAACCGACTTGGGGAAGTCCACGAGATTGAGCAGCAGCCAACCTCATACTACATCGGCCCGGTCGCTTGAACACTTCAGCCGACCGAACGTTACGGCAGCAAAGCAGCAGCTAAAGCAGCAGCAGAAAAATCAGCCCTAGCAAAAGCAGCACTAGCTACATAAAGAGCAGCAGCAGCAACGCAGTAGCAGTAAAAGAAGAAGCAACCGCAGCAGCAAGCAGAAACAGAGGCAAAGCGCAGTACAGCAGCCACAACCTCCACGGCTCACTCACATCGTCCGGTCGCTGAACTCCGGGAGCGTGGCGAAGCGATCTTTGACCTCGTTCCATCCCCCCAGGACGTTACGATGGCAGCCCTTCCAGTCGCAGAACCCCGTTAGCCTTGGCTGGTCGCCGTCGTTCTGGTAAACCCGTTCGCATGGCCGTCGTACATGCAAGGACGGAGGCATTAACACAAGGGGATGTTTTGCATGCCTGTAGCTGTTAGACCATGGACCACCGGGGGTGCGGGGGGTGCGAGAGGGGGGGGGATTAGTCGTTATTTTGCTTCGTCTGGCGCCGTTGTGACACCCATCATGCATGCGTTCCTCTCCGGGTGTACAGTATCACAGGGAGTTAGCTTGATTAGGTTTTCAAGAAATCGTTTTTTCTATTATGATACTGCACACAACAAACAACAACGCGACAGCTGTAGCCACCGTACGCTGGTGCGGAGAAAGGAAACATGCCCCTTCGTCGCTTGTCTCCGTCTTCGAAAGGTTTGGACAAAACCCACAAATAAACATCTTGGCTGCGGGCGGGGTGCTTTCTTTCGTGTTTGTCGTTTTTTTGAAAGGAATGCGCTCGGCTGCATTCTCTCATTCTAGATTTCCGTCTTCTTTCATACATACGCATATTACGAATGTTTTCCACGCGCCGGTCGATTTACCACCCCCAAAGACAAGCAAGCGGCAACTAAAAACAAGCAACCTAAACACGAAGCACCTTCCCTCTCTTCGATACTCTCCAGCGATATGTACCAGTACCAATGTTCCTTGAGGTAGACAATATTCCACTGTTACGCCAATGACCCTATGGCGCGGTAACACTGCAGACTCTGAATCTGCCACCCTGAGTTCGAGTCTCAGTAGGGTCACTTTTTTTTCCCATCGTCTAGCGGTGGGTTTCCGTGCGGGGCAACCGCATTGTATTCTAGAACAGGACGTGATCGGTCACCTGCCGTAGCACCACCTGTCTCCCGAACGACCCTATGGTGTAGTCGGTAACACTGCAGACTCTGAATCTGCCACCCTGAGTTCGAGTCTCAGTAGGGTCACTTTTTTTCCTCCATCATCTAGACATGGGTTTCGTCGCGGAGCAACCGCACTGTATTCTAGAACAGGACGTGATCGCTCGCGTGCCGTAGCACCACCTATCGCGCGAACGACCCTATGGTGTAGTCGGTAACACTGCAGACTCTGAATCTGCCACCCTGAGTTCGAGTCTCAGTATGGTCACTTTTTTTCCCCATCGTCTAGCGGTGGGTTTCCGCGCGGGGCAACCGCATTGTATTCTAGAACAGGACGTGATCGGTCACCTACCGCAGCACCACCTAGCGCGCGAACGACCCTATGGTGTAGTCGGTAACACTGCAGACTGAATCTGCCACCCTGAGTTCGAGTCTCAGTAGGGTCACTTTTTTTCCCCATCGTCTAGGGGTGGGTTTCCGTCGCGGAGCAACCGCATTGTATTCTAGAACAGGACGTGATCGCTCACCTATCGTAGCACCACCTATCGCGCGAACGACCCTATGGTGTAGTCGGTAACACTGCAGACTCTGAATCTGCCACCCTGAGTTCGAGTCTCAGTAGGGTCACTTTTTTTCCTCCATCATCTAGACATGGGTTTCGTCGCGGAGCAACCGCACTGTATTCTAGAACAGGACGTGATCGCTCGCGTGCCGTAGCACCACCTGTCTCCCGAACGACCCTATGGTGTAGTCGGTAACACTGCAGACTTTGAATCTGCCACCCTGAGTTCGAGTCTCAGTAGGGTCACTTTTTTTCCCCATCGTCTAGGGGTGGGTTTCCGTCGCGGAGCAACCGCATTGTATTCTAGAACAGGACGTGATCGCTCACCTATCGTAGCACCACCTATCGCGCGAACGACCCTATGGTGTAGTCGGTAACACTGCAGACTCTGAATCTGCCACCCTGAGTTCGAGTCTCAGTAGGGTCACTTTTTTTCCCCATCGTCTAGCGGTGGGTTTCCGCGCGGGGCAACCGCATTGTATTCTAGAACAGGACGTGATCGGTCACATACCGCAGCACCACCTAGCGCGCGAACGACCCTATGGTGTAGTCGGTAACACTGCAGACTCTGAATCTGCCACCCTGAGTTCGAGTCTCAGTAGGGTCACTTTTTTTCCCCATCGTCTAGGGGTGGGTTTCCGTCGCGGAGCAACCGCATTGTATTCTAGAACAGGACGTGATCGCTCACCTATCGTAGCACCACCTATCGCGCGAACGACCCTATGGTGTAGTCGGTAACACTGCAGACTCTCAGTAGGCAGACTCTCAGTAGGGTCACTTTTTTTCCTCCATCATCTAGACATGGGTTTCGTCGCGGAGCAACCGCACTGTATTCTAGAACAGGACGTGATCGCTCGCGTGCCGTAGCACCACCTGTCGCGCGAACGACCCTATGGTGTAGTCGGTAACACTGCAGACTCTGAATCTGCCACCCTGAGTTCGAGTCTCAGTAGGGTCACTTTTTTCCCCCATCGTCTAGACATGGGCTTTCGTCGCGGGGCAACCACGTTGTATTGAACACGCTGATCGCTCCACAACCGTGGTACCGCTTTTTGGAATTATTTTTGGTATTTTTGTTGGTATTTTGTTTGTTTTGTTTTTTGTCCTTTTTTCGTCTTTTTTTCGTCTTTTTTTTTGCCTTTGTTTTTGTTTTGCGGTAAACATAATGATGGTCGAGTAGATCATGTTGTGCGGGGTCGAGAACCCTCACTCCGCGCAAGGGGGATGATCGCACCACGTTGTGTTAAAATGGTCAAGCATCCTCGAGGCAGTTACACAGTGCTTACAACTGTCTCTGGAAGTGAAAGCACCACACAATAAATCAAGTAATTCCCTGCTGTCATCCGTACGCAAGGAAGTAAGCACAAGATGCCGAACCCCCTTAGCAGGATGCAGCGCACCCTTCATGCGACTCGCCGAATACCTCACGGCGCTTCGCGCTTGGCGATGTGAGAGCCTGGTCCGGTGAGAACCCGGCGTGCTCCGTCCCGCTTTGTAGGGATGGGAGGTCAAAGGTCTAACGACTACGGCATGCACGACTATGAGTACCCCCCCCCCCCCCCTGGGGCGTAACGCCTACTGCCGTAGATACCTTGATGTGCGCCACGAAATCCGCCCTGGGCATAAGCATCGCCACGGTCCGGGGCACGCGGTAGAGCGAGTCCTTGATCTCCGCCTCCGGCACCACCCTGCCCGTTTCCTCCGCTCGTCTCCTAGCCCTCTCCAGCACCTGCTCCTCGCTCGCGTGCACGTACAAGATCGCGATGCGGTACGTCGGATGGGTCTGGGAAAGACGGAGCAGGGGGGGGGGGGGGGGGGGGGGGGGGGGGGGCTTCGGGGGGGGGGGGGGGGGGGGGGGGG